ATATGGATTTGTCTTTTTTTTTTTTTTTATTTCGGGTTGGAAAATCCTCATGGAGACCCACCGCCCTCGGGTAAGGGCGAAGGTACTGTCTACTGTCAGACTCTTACTGACTAAAAACCAACCCGGTGCTCCTCCAATAACCCATGTGTCGGAGGGGCGGGTATCGCCGAAGCATTCGTCGCAACCCCCCGACGGGTATTGGCCCGCCAGATGGTAAGGAGGGCCCCGTCACCCACTGCGGCCGTCACCCCGACCGCAGGACTCCACTATGAGGCGCGCGCGGAACACGGCACCGCCGCCTCGAGGCCTGCTGCTGGTCAGACGACAAGACGCCCCGAGTCTGTCGTCCACAGGCCGCGCCCTACGGCGGCCGCAGATCGGCCACCCTACGACGTCTAGTGCGTCTGCTGCGGGAGGGGAGTGAGGAGGCAGCCTCTATCTCTCTTTCGGGCGGCCTCGCAGAAGGTAGCGACGGTTCTCCACCCTGACTCGCTCCCGACCATAGTAGACACTACAGCCGGAAGCGAGAGATTTCCCGCAGCACCTACGGCCGCGACCAGGTCACGACGCTGCTCGGCCCAAGCTGGGCACTCCGCCAAGGTATGCAGCGCCGTATCGTCGCGGCAATCACCGCAATGGTGGCACTGAGACGTCGGCTCCCGACCTATGCGACACAGGTACTTCCCGAAACACCCGTGTCCAGTAAGCACCTGCGTCAGCCGGAAGCTGAGGGCGCCGTGGCTCCTATTGAGCCACTCCTCTAGAACGGGCTATATGGATTTGTCTAAGAAATATTAAAATTATGTTAGTTGTTTATTATAAGTACTTTAACGGGGATGTTGTTAGGTGTAGGTATTTTTTACCTGATATTCTAATAATAACGAGAACATATTGCAAAGTAGCTCGTCAGGGTTATGTGTGGTGAAAGTAGATATACGCGACTCCAATTGAACTGGAAAGTTGTTTTTATTCGATGAACGAATGATAATTAATTAATTAAATTAATCTTCATCGGCCCATAATTGATGACTGCCGAGTAATGGTTTCCATGTTTCTTACCTGCACCCTCATGCTCGAGGAGCATTAATATATCGTAATTGGGGTATTTTCGATACAATGTTAAGTGTAAAGATTTATGTAATTAGACTTTAAAGGCTTAATAAGTCAGGAACCTATGGAATGCGTTGCAGGGTGGCCAGGTGTTTTGTAGTACAGGTTTCACCTACACAGACAAGTCTCAAGTTAATTGAACTGTATTTTGTCCATTTTGTGATGTAAGCAAATAAAAGTAAATAGATACGCTTTTTTTGTGAGGAGAAAATCATCAAATGACTTCTCCCGCCCAGCGTGAAAGGGAGTGTCAGACTCTTACTGACTAAAAACCCCCTGTTCCTTCTCTTGCTCTGGGCTGAGGCATACGTCTTATCTGGTACCTAAGATCTATCTATTTATCTGGTACCTATAACATAGTACATTCAGCTCGCAATTTCTCAGTCACTTACTGTTAGCCGTCTCTTTATTCTTCTCGCCGCCACTCGCATCCATTGGCTCCAACCGACTCCGACAATGTCGTCGGTCCAACTGGTGGGAGGTCTGCCAACGTGGTCACTCGAGCTCTTTTTTTGATCCATCGGATTCCGTCCTTTCAATAGTCGATCGTTCGCTTAGCAGTGTGCGACGAGGTGTTGTCGTGGTGAATGAGGATCCTACTGCAAGGTCGTTTAACTCGAACTTTTTCCAAGACAAGTGGCAAACAATTGATAGTGTACCATTCTGCAGAAACTGTTCTTGATCCTCTTACCCAATTGTTGCGAAATGACCTATCCTTCCAACTTCCAAAGAACGAGGCCACCATATTTTTCCTGCACTTCTACCTCTCTTCCCTATAGTTTTTTTTTTGTGAGGGGAAAGTCATCAAATGCCTTCTCCCGCCCAAGGCCGGGCAGGAGGGAGTGTCAGACTCTTACCTACTGACTAAAAACCCCCCTGTTCCTTCTCCTGCTCTGTGCCGAGGTCGCGGTGCCTCATTGCGCTTACCCCGCAACCCCGGCTGAACATCAGCCCTTTAGGGCCTCGTCTGTGGTGGTCTAATGGCTCTTTGAGGCGCGCGCGGAACGCTACGCGCCGTACGCTCGGGCCTGGTTCTGGTCGGGCGGCGAGCTGCCCTTACTCGCCGACCGAAGGCCCGTGCTTACGGTGGCCGGAGATCGTCCCTTGATCCCCGAAGCCCGTAGTGTCGCCAGTTGCGGCTGCTGGGGCGTGAGGAGGAGGATTGCTCCCTCACGCGGGCCGCCTCTCTCTTTGCGAGCTCTTCACTATAGTTGGCAACTCCTCGAAAGGAAACACCCTCAGAGCAGATGGTCTTTTGGTTTCAGAATAATAACAGTAAATCCAGCTTTCGTCACTTGTTAGTATTTCAGACACAGCATTTGAATCACCTCTGTTAAATCTTTCAATCATCATTTTACGGCACCAATCCACACGATGGAGTTTTTGAGCCTCAAAGCTTCCTGACCGCTAAATGTCCGTGGAGGATTTTGTGCACTTGACTCATACCGATGCCTAAGCTTGTCCGAATCTGCTGATAGGTCACTCTTTTGTCAGTCTCTAAAATACGCCGCACAACTCAGATGTTATCTTCAGTCATCGCCGTAGGGCCATCCCTCACGTAAATCATCGGTGAGTTTAGTGCGACCACATTTAAACTTATTAGGTACACCAGTTGTAAACAGTCGCACAAGATGGGGCTTCATCGTGAAAGGACAATCGTAGTATATCATAACTTTCTTGTTGACTTAAATGACATCGAAAGTCATAAAAAATCATTGCACGAAAATTTTCTCGTGTTAAATCCATGTTGACGTGACACAGACAATTTTCAATTTGCCGCAAAATCGTAAAGCAAACTAAAAGCAAACGACAAATGAATGAAATATACATATACTCAGTAATATCGGCAAAGAGTTATATTTTCAAATTTTAGAATACTTATTTTTTTTATTTTTTTATTTATAAGTGGCCAGTTCTAAGAACTTTCAGATTGACCCTCGTAGGCCCACTTGTTGTTAAACGGTTTTGAGGTTCACGAGCACTGTGTTCAAGTACCTATTTTAAACACTATGGATTTTGCTTGAACAGGACTTCTCCATTTTAGTGAAATTGCATTATATTGTATAACTATAACTTGATAAATTTGTAAATGTGAGGGCCCTGTAACCTATTCCAATTGGTTAGACCAGCAGATTGTCGGTCCTTATAACAGCTTGGAGTTGTCATGCTCACTGAAAGGTCACAATAGCGGTGGCACGGGCGCTGGATCGGTTTATTCCCTATAATACGGTTGAGTTGGGCGATGCTGGTGTACGTGTCATGTTCGTGAACGGGCGCCGTCAGTTGGGACTGGTCAGCTCCAGACTGTCTATTGTCCTTAATATTACTTTCTTTTTATATTTGAATAAATATTAGTGTTACACTGTTCTCACATAATTGAACCAACTGTTTGTAAAAAGGAATCTGTATGAGAAACTGATTTAAAAAGAGTAACCATTGAGTTTCTTGCTCGTTCTTCTCCATCGGAATCTACACTTTGAAACGAGCAAATAGCTTCACTAAGAGGACTACCCGACAGAATGACACTATATTATAGTATCTTCAAAATTTTGTTTGACGTTCAAAAATCTAATTGGAATAAATGATTTTTGACTTTTGACTTTTGACTGCCGTTACAATCATACTATCGGCAAATCAAAGATCAGTGATATATTCGCCAGAGATGTTGATGTCGAGTCCGCTCTAGTCCAAGAGCTTAAAAATGTTCTCCAACGCATTCACAAACAGTTTCTGAGAACTTTCAGCCTCGTACCTTACTCCAAATGGATTAGTTTCGTGCTTGCCGTTTCTTGGAGTCGGGTTACGGTTTTGCTTTATTATAAAACGGGAAAGTGGCTAAAGTCCTTCATCATCTTCAGCCTATAAGTGCCCACTGCTGAGCAAAGGCCTCTTCTCATACGGAGAAGGTTAGAGCATTGATCACCAGGCTGGCTATGTTTGAAATCGTCAACTAATGAAGTCCATAAATTTTAAAGCCTAATTTTTATATAGGTAGTGAAATAGTTGGCTATCTAAAACTTTGATAGAACAATTTGGCTAAACCACCAGGCGGTAGGCCTGTCTAGAATCTAGAATGCTTACCTTAGCACCATAGACTATGTCTATCAAGCCGTTGTCACCACCTTATAATTTTCTTACATATCATCAACACTCATTAAGCGGCTTGCACATTGTCATTTTTACAAATTACGTTGTTAGGTTTAACAACTTTTTTACATATCAATAATAGTGTAATATACTTACAAAATCAGTTACGATTTACCTACACGGTTTACTTACAAACACGTTTATGTCGTCGGGTTTCGCCCAATAATCAACTTTAATACTTTGATCGGCTCGAGAATCAAATTGCTTCCACTCGAACCATATTCGAGGAACATCGGGTTACCTTTTATTATGTACTAAGTACTTAGATGTTAATTTGTGCTCAGTATTAAGTATTTCTTTTCACAACAGCATTTCATATTACCTCATAGGATTACATTTATTATTCTGATTTGTGCAGTGACAGTACAATCGACATTTACCCTTTACTGTTTACTGTTTACGAGAAGAAGGACAAAGGATTATCCTAATAAATCACTATTTAAAAAATTGTGCCCGTAGTAGAATTTTTGTACTAGTGTGATTCTCAGTACTTGGAGGTAATTAATAACTTGATACGTTGTTGTATCAAGTTATTTATATCTCCTTTTATACCTACTTAAATCAGTAATTTCTTATTAAAAACGGGGTACGTCGTTAATAAATAAAATGGGACATAAAATAAATAAAAATGAAAATGGTTAGCACCTTATATCTTTTATTAGTAATTGTTAATCGACATTTTAAATTACACTAACAAAATATCTAATTCTTAACAAGTTATAGTAGTTAATTACATAAGTTATCTTAGGTACACTTTCGTTCGAAAGGATCGAAATAACTATAAACTATGTACTTTGGCTGACAGGCTTTTAGTATGTTTGTTATTATTTTAATTGTCAACTAATTTATTTAACTTAAGTGGCCTGAATCAATCTTTCTTGTAAGTATGGGGAAACTTCACGGTTGTTGTTTGAAAATTACCTCATACTCACAAAAAAGATTGGGCCAGACATCGACACACGCAATATCACGCATCCAGACATACCGACAGCTACAATAATTACACTGGTTTATCAGGGTTTCGCTGAGAACTATCGAAAACAAGCCTGTTTTAGCTACAAGTACTTTACTGAAATATATTTACTTATATACTAAGTGCTTACTTCATATTAAAATAAAAAATAGAACATTTTGGTTATTTAGGAAATATTTCAAAACTATAACTTAAAAGTTCATGTTCATATTTGTAAAATTGTCAGTTTGTCCTGCAGTACCACTTGTATGTTTATTTGTGTCTAGAAATGACTAAGATAAAGTTCTTATCGACAGTATACTAGCAATACGCATTTCGATAACAGTTCGTCTTGTATCCATAGTGTATCTACGCTCGGAACGCGAGAATATATCGACACTTTGACTACACTAAATGATCAGAAAATTGATCACTGATCACGGTGACAAATCTAACAATTAGTACTACAATATTATTTGATAGTCATGTAGGTTCTATAACTAGTTATTTCATCTTTGGTACAAACTTAGGTAACATTTCAGAAAATTATGCAAGTTACATACTATTTGGTAAATATTTATAAAAAAATCTAAAACCTTATAAAAACCAGTGTTATTTTGTATATCTATCTATACATACTATATTTATATAGGATTATATTTCAGCATTATATAACAGATCAATTCAGGGGTCATGTTTACTTTAATTTTTGGTCACAAGAAAAGATTTACAGTTATGTCATTAGGAAAATCTATCAATGCTAATTTAACACTTTTCAATCAACTTATATACACGCCCATTACATTTTGCTACGTAGAAATTTAACCATTCGGATAATACTTGCTACATACTAAAGTCAAATTACACATGAACTCGACATTCAGAATAGGATCATGTTGAGGATACACTGTCGGTGTCGGTGTACCTAATGCATCGTCCTATTTACATCGCAGACCTAACAGAATGGGATGGTATCTATCTAATTCAAAATTTACATGCGCCCGACCGAATCAGAAGACACTCTGCCCTAGCCTAAATTATTGGCAGTATATTTTAAGGCGAAGCATTCAATTCGTAGTCATCGGCGTGCGCGGCACCCGGGTCCCCTGCTCTCACTGCGGCGATGCGTTTAGGTCTCGGAGTCGCAGGTGATCAACCAGCGGGTGTGTCTCCTCCATTCTCCTCTCATCGGGCCACTTTACTACAACGTTGGTGCTGGCGGGAGGCAGCGTTACTGGCGGTTCCACAACCACCGGTAAGCCACCCTCACGCTCAGGTAGCACGTGACCGAAGAGTGCTCCCACGCGCCTGTACATCAGTTGAGGCACTTGTGGTACTGAAGCGGCACCGTGGTCAACGCCATCTGGTAGAGCACGCGGGCCACCTCCCATCTGAGTCATAACGATGACTGGCGGTGTTTCCTGAGGAGGTACCACGTCGTTCACTGCCCTCAGCGGGACAGGCGCTGTAGTTTGCGGCGCCTCGCATGTTGACGCACCGTTAATGCGAGCGCTCAGAGTCTCCAGCACCGTGATCAGCTCGTACAGGTGATCATCGCATAAGACCGGGTTATCTGCAACGCAACGTCCTAAGAATGTATACTTGCAACTAAACGCAAACGTTTATCATTTATTTTTCGCAACCTTCTAGGCTTTTGTCATACTTTGAAATACACAAGCACATGCAGTTAAAAGCACATACATATTAATTGTTACAATAAAGGAAAAAACATTCGCAAAAGATTATTAATTCGTACAAGCAAATAACAAGTAGGACAGTACAGGATTGATATCTATTCAAATTCGCTTTGCTTCTTAAAGTGTAACATGTCATATAAATAATCATAAATATTTTCGGTTTTCTAGAACTAAATAGGAAATGCTTACGCACCTTGAAGATAAATCTTTAATACACTAGGCACTCCATTGATAGTACATCTCGATTTTGACACAACGTCATAATTAACAGTCTTGATGTGGTTAAACGACAAATCAGCTATGCACAACGAAGGCAATCCGTGGAAATCTTTGTCGAGCAAAGTTATGTTGTTATGATGTGCTATCAATTCCTCAAGTGACGGCAAAAACGTCTGGAAATAAACCGAGACACAAAAATTAAATATAAAATGTGACTGAAAGTATCGCAACAGCTAAACATTGGTATTGTAGTTATTGTAAATTTTTAAATCGCAAAAGCTCGCCAAGCCACAAGACACAGTGTTTATGCTCCAGTATATAAACAAACCTTTGATGTTTCTTCCAATGTAGTTATATGATTATGGGACACGTCAAGCAATCTTAAGTCTTCAAGACCGATTAGGTCGTCTGGAGAAATTTGCTGGAGAAGATTATTACTTAAATTGAGCCTCAAGAGGCCATGTAGCCCCATCAGTGCTCCGCCCAAGCTAAGAATGTGGTTATGGTCCAGTCTCAGTTCTAGTACACGAGTTTCAACGTCAACTAAATTCTGTGAAAACGACAAATTGATTCGGTCAATATACCTTAACTTCAAGCAAGCACACCGCTTCATGTTCTAAAATATTTACCTCCATGTTTCCTGTTATAAGACTTATCCTATTATGAGAGAGATCAATGACAGACAATCTTTTTAATCCTTTGATTTCTTGCAGCGAAAATTCTGTCATGTAATTGTGAGTCAAATTCAAATATCGCAACGACTTCAAACTCTTTAAAGATCCATTTAAGGATTTGAGTTGATTATACGCAATGTCCAATTCAGCCAATTTTTCTGCTTCAGTAAACTCATCCTCCGCTAGCTGTAATTGCAAAAGTAATAATTAAACAAAAGACTGATGGTTTCCATTTAATTTACAGATTCCATTTATTCATCCTAGTGTTGAGTTTAAATGCAAAAAAAGGTTAATCAAAAAAGAAGACGCTAATCCTGTCTAAGGAAAGATATTAAAAATAACTACTGCGTCGTACTAAGGTACTTGAAAGGACTTTGAAAAACAAAAGATCCCAAGGCGACCCGCAAACATTTAGCTAGCTAGCAAACCAAAAGAAAGAAGGATTTAACTAGAAGAGAACATGTAAAAATACTAACACTTTCTATCTTGTTGAAAGACAGTCCTATCCTCATCAATCTCCTGGACTTCTGCAGCGCTCCGTCCAATAGCTTGATATTATTTCCATAGAAATACAACGACTCTAGTGAAGGCATTTGTTTTAGGTCTTTTGGTAAGGTTTGCAATTCGTTATGGGCGGCGTGGATTAGGACGATCCTTTTCGCTTTCTGAAATAAATATTTGTCAAAAATAATTTACAGCCAGTGTGTATTTTTCTCTATCAAAGTAAGATTTGGTTCGTGATTTTATATTTCTTCAGTTTCTGTTACTTTCGTGTTTTGCACGACAATACTCGTATCACGTAAGTATAATTTGTCAAACTTAAAAAACAATAAATTAGGGACCTTACTTGAACAATTTACATAGACTATAAAAGTAGGAATATTTTTCGGGCTTTACTCTGATCATTTTAAGGTTCGCTGTTCGAGAGTTTTGTAAAAAGTTGCTGAGAGTTACCTATAACTGATAATCAATATTTCAATGCTCTCCGATTGTCGTGTTTAGGCATTACATGAAAGTAACAGAAACTAAAGAGACGGAGTAACTTCTAACAACCATTTGTTTAAAAATTTCATAGCCCTGCGTTTATTGAAAGGAGCAACATAACAATATTTCTAATATTTTATACTTACGACGGGCAATTCATTGTCTATAGATTTTAAATTATTTGCATTAATGAAAATCCATTCTAAGTCGTCCAAATCTCTGAGAGCTCCATTCAGTGAACTAAGCTTGTTGATACCAAGATGAACGTGCTTCAAAGCTTTGGGCACAGCATCCCTCTCTATTTTTGATATCTGGTTATCTGCCACCAGTAAGTGTTCCACTTCCTGTATGTCCTACGAAACAAAATAACAAATACGATTAGAATAGGAAAATTACCCATTTTTTAGCGGTACGAAATACCTTTTTATGGAAGCGGCCAGTAATAGATTCCTCGTACTGCTACGTCGTTATATATTCATTTAATTTTTAAAGTAAAGTTTTTTAAGTCTTGAGATTTATAATTGAAATGATGTCTTTTGTTACTATAGGTAGTTAAAAGCTTTGCAGCTATTGAGGCTTAATTGCTATTTAAAACGAGTAGCGTATTCAGTATTGGATAGGATAGGTAAGCCAAGAGACCTTAAGATCAATATTACGTACATTCTTATCATAATTCTTTTAAACAATGTACACGATAATATTGTGAGTCAAATTAAACTTGCTATATCATAGCTGTAAGTACGTAAAATACATAAACAAAGATAAACCTAATAAACACTTTAATTTCCTTAGCAGAGGTAGGAATAGTTGAGTAAATTAAAATACAAGTAAACAAAAAGGACACAAATAATTTTAATTTCAAATACATGCTTGTTGCATTTGGGGCTATCACCAACATTGTGTCTATTTATAGAACTGAGATAAAAAATATGAATGACTGGTACTATTATTATTCTGGTGGTGAGAGTTCATTATAATATTGTTAACATTTTATTTCCTTACCCTGAAGTCATCTTCGGTGAGCTTCGTGATTTTGTTCCTGCAGAGGTCGAGAGTCTTGACGTGCGGCAGATGCTGGAGAACATGCCTCGGCATTTCTGTTAACGAGTTGTCCGCCAAACTGAAGTAGTCCACCAAGTCCAATTTCGTGAAAACACTCTCTTTCAACTCACTGAAATTGAGAAACATAACAATCAATAATGTGTTTACGTATTCATTTTCTCATATACAATTCTTTTAGTTTCTTAGAACTACGCAAAAATATTGCTCATATAAATTGTCTTATAAAATTAATGTGTCTTCACGTCCTGAGAGCCTATACATATAGTGTTTATATGCATTATTGCGGATAACCTGACACGGTAACTGCACATGATACCAATGCCTGCCAACAATACTTTTATTGTTGGTAAGTTTACTTGATAAGTTACCATATTCATTTGAAACAGTATCAAGCTTTACGCGTAACATAGTATTCAGTAAAAAAACATTGCTTACGTCACGCATTATGGCCTTATTTTTCTTTCTATAAGTTATAACGCAATAGATATGAGTGAAGGAGTTTAAAGACAGTTCTTATGAACCGATAGCATCTTGAGTGTCGCTTACGTCGTGTTATTCTCCAGTTAAGCTGTTGAAAGTAATCGTTCGTAGATTCAGCTATGGTTATTTGATAAATATTTTAATAAGGCCATTATAAAATATAAACGCTAACCCTCAAGTTATTATATCGGCTCACGTCGCGAGCGCAGTCAACCGAAGGGTAAAAATAATTCTCGCGACAAATATAGCTGTTTATCTGCCTCGATGAGCAGAGAATTTATTATATCAAATATTGTTTACAAATAAAATAGGTCTACATTTTGTTTTACGGACATAATCCAACACAACATTTGTTATTCTTGCCTGGTGTGGTTTCGTTGTAGTTGTAAAGATTAAAGAGCCGAAATTGTCAATCATTAACGAAATAAAGTAGAACGTATCCATTAGTTCTACCTACTCAAAATTCAATGTCGGATACCCTATCACCTCTTGCGAGAATATCGGATATACCATTATTACTGATAACACCACCTACGCGTTTGTTGTCTATCATTTAGAGAAGCACACAATGGAATGAAAAAGCTTAGAGTTTTTTTTTCTAGCTAGATTGTCATATTTTTCTCTTAGTTATTAGTAAGACCACTTAGTGTGGGAGGACTTCAACAGATCCTTTGTATTGAACCTTTTATATCACATAAGAGGAATGGCGCCATATTGTGAGTTTTATGCTCGTACGGTGTGATATATAAAACGACAATACCTATATAAGAACAAGTGAGTCCCATTTCTACGAAACATAATTTTGGATAAATATAGTTTAAGAAACAGATTTGTTGAGGGGTGATACTTATTTTTTTTTTCCGCCCTGTAGGGGGCGGCAGGCGGCTGGTGACTCTTACTGTCTAGAAACCACCCTGTTGATTCCCCTGCTCCGTAACAGGACGGCAGAACATTATTGAGCTTAACCCGCAACTAGGGCTGAGAGAAATAGACATAAATACCTTCCGTTAAAAAATAAAGTAATTACAAAAAAATTCGTTGGTTACATACTACATACTATAATTGAATATATATTGCTGTTTAATACATTCTAGGTAAACGGGATTTTTTTATTATCAACATGTTAGTGATAGGTATTTTTGTTTTGATTATCATGGTTATTTATTCTATAACAGGGGATGAACTTAGTTTTAAATAGTATTTTTTTTACTAAACTTTATAACTCTACGCCTGGTCTGTACCTAATTACACTTAAAAACCAATATTTAATGGAGATACACATAAAGCACGTGATAATAAATTATAAATTAAGTAGCCAAACGATAACGATAACCGAAAAAATATATAATGAATTTAACGTACGGACATGCTATAAGGAAACACGTATTAATTAATAAAATATAAAAATATCTAAGTACCAACTTCGTTAAGATACAAAATTGAGTATAACTAGCAAGTCAAGACATGTCGACGCTGAGGTTGCATTGTGGGCTTAGTGCATGCGAGTAACGCGAGTTTAGTAAACACTAATGTGAGGAGGTCAACGTTCCGGGGTTATCAATGCAGGGGCGGCGCCAAACGGTCGCATGGACGCCCGACGGCGAGCCGCCGTGCGCCGGCGCCGCAAACACCCTGCGCCACAACCACACGACGCATGCACCAACACAGCACCACACTCTTTGACATCAGTCAATCACTGCAGTTATCTCTGCAAGATACCTCAATTAAACATGAAATACAGTTGTGTGCACACATCTGTCACGTAACGTGAGGCTGTCCACCTACATTGCTGTATAGTATCTACGAACCCTCTGTGATTTCCCACTAAGAGTGACGTAACATTGCTAGATTATAACAAGAGGTCCCTCTGTTGTTTGACCTATCGTTTTCCTAACACACTTAAGTAAAACTATCTCGAATGTTTGTTTCACGAATGCTTCCAAAGTACCCACATTGTATTGTACTATCTACTTGTTCCTCTTTGCTATCGTCTGGGACTAATTGAATAAACTAAACAGCACGATTTGTATTATCACAAGTTTATAGGTCTTCGACTTTGTTGTACAACTGATGAACGTTCCCTTAAACTTTAAATGTAGGAAATTATTAAATGTCTCTCCCCTCTTAGTACCTAATCTTACCACATTTTTACAAAATATTCACCTTGTAAAAAGCGATAAAGAATAATACAAAACATTTAGAAGACTTACTTGAAACTACTTTGTTATAAAAATATTATATTATATTTTTTAATAATAATAAATATAAATTTTATATTTTTTATTTATTTTAATTGTGGTAATCATAAATAACTCAATCTTAATATTTTAGGGGTCTGTTTCACTACATCTGAATAACCACCTGACCCTAAATATAAAACGTAATTAATATGCACTATGTGCCATAATATAAGTTTATCGGATACTTAGTTGAAGGTGGCAAAGAAGAAAAGAAGCGAGACAAAAGATTTCTTCCTCAATTTCAACATGAGAACCAGAAAGAAACTTATTCAAAAACAAGATTCCAACTAGACAGTATGTTAAGTGGAAGATGGTGTAAGCACAAATTTAAAATAGGTACCTTGTTTTAACGAAATTCTTAATATGTATTATTAGCCTCTGCTTACACGGAGAAGGTTTGACAGCAACCACCTCACTTGTTCTAGGCAGAGCGGTAACTTCATAAAAAAAATTGAAATTTTAAGTCACTATGTTTGCCTTCGCCGTTTGTCAGTGGTATCTAAAAATCGATTGAATGAGGATAAAGATTTTGCTTTAATAAAACATATTTTATAATTTAGTATGTTATAATAACTGAGAGGCGCTCTCTCTCTCTTATTTTCCGACCTGCATACCAAATCTTTATGTAGACAGTTCTTTCAATAACAAAATAAATATTGGAAAACATTCGTGAGAACAAAAGAAGGTAAATAGATAAGTTGTTTGCAAGTAAACATTATCCTCTTAAAAGGTTCTAATTTTCAATAAACATTAAAACCGGCTCAAGTTGCCTACAACAGTAAATCTTTGAAGGATTTAATCAATTAAGGGGATTAAGTAGGATAAACAAAATTACAATGAGCTTTATAAATAAGGTTAGGTAAATAAGATCCTAATCAAACGTTCTTGATTCTTTTTGTTACCATACGAAAAATTGTGGTTCACTGCCAAAGTATTGATTCTGTTTGCGTCGAACTTGCGACCAACTTTCATCACCAACCACTGCTGAATTTAGGCTTACACCAATGACTTCTAGATAGGCCGATTGGTATTTTTCTTGACATCACAAACGCATTGGATGAACAGGTACATTACAGCAAGAATAAAGTGGCATTTGCAGTCAATCCCCAAGACTGCATAAAATACAATTACCTAAGGAAAACTTAAGGACAAAGCTCCCAAAAAATGCACCCTCGTCCTTATCACAACCAGGCTGAAGTGGGTTTAGGTATGGACATTAACGTATACGAGGAGATATAGCAACACTCAAAGTCCAGAAAAATCCTTTGGCAAACTCGAATCTTATTCTGCATTTGCACAAAATAGATTTTATAAAGAAGAAAATTCGTCTGTCAGGTCGCGATAGAATGTCCCATATAAATTTATGAATAAACGTCGGCTTGGAAGATACTCATCTGGTAAACCTTCCAATGATAGTAGCATTACAAAGACTTAGTTTGAATTTCAAATACGAACAAAACGGTAGAGGCTACATGTAAATATTCTTCCCACTTGAATGCTGTAATTTTCGATCATATTAATTATAAGTCTCCAAAATCAAATAAAACATAATGGATGAAACTAATCAAAACCACAAACATTAAACAAAACAATTGTGTTCATGACCTTCGTGCTTTGAAAGTACATCATTTAAAAAGATAAAGGATTAAGTACTCGATGGTCGGGACGCGACCACGAGTTCGCTACTTGTTGAGTCGAACGATACATAATTGACGTTCTCGCTTAGGCCAAAGGGTAATTAAATTACAAAACGGGACCAGCATATATACAATTAAACGAAGCGCTAGGCTCGGCTGACGAACAAAGCGTGATTGCACATATCGCCGAAGAGGACTTATGTCTAGGTATTGTTTCATTGATACTCTTTCTTAGGTATATTCTTGTATAACGTTTGACAAAAAGTATCATGCTAGGTGGCACTTATATCGTCATCTTAGTATATGGGAAATATATAACAATTTGTTAAATTATTATAGTAGTTTTCCCATAATTTTGAGATCCATACATAAAATCTGCAACGTAAAATATTTTCACAATAATGGTATTTTAGATGCAATATTTTATATCTGTGATATGACACTTCTATCTTGTATTGGAGTGGTATTCATTCAAAAGTAGGTATTCCTACTTTTTAACCTTACAGTAATATTAAAACTTCATAAATATACGTACCTACTCCAGCGCTTTTCCCTAACTGCTTATGTCTATCAAGCAAGTCAAATTCAAGACAATACACGGGTTTTTATAATCATGACTCATTTGGGCCCAAGACCATACCTTAGGTCAAGCTGACTCATTGATTCTTAAAATATCTCCATGCAATGAATGCGAATACAATTTAAAACAATTATATCTAGTTGTGTCTTTTAAGTGATCCCCTGTACTTACTCGTGATTTCGTCAATATTAAACAAACATGCATTTTCGAAGTCAACCTATAAAAAGAAAACAAAAAGCACTACTTTTGGTTTTTATAACCAAAGTACACTAAGTGCCTTTAAAAGAATATTTATCGTGTAACATGGCTTCAAAAATGGCTTCCTTTAGTTCTCCAGTCTTTCTTGTATTAAAAGCGACAACTCAATTATTGAGTCACATCGACATTAACATTGCACATCTTCGCGAATTCCTCCCATTGATCGCTACACTGACCAATCACAAAGCAGGAAATATCAAACCGTGGTAGTATGAAGACTAACAACATTTTCCATGTAACACTTTCTCAGATTGCAACAGCGGCTTGAACTCGTTACAAAGCGAGGTAAGGTAAGGGAGGTCCACGTGACATTAAATTGCTAACAAAGTCTAAAAAACTTGAAGTAATAAAAGTACCAACTGCAAAACAATGAAAACCTAGGACGCGTGGTTCATGAAGGCATCTTAAAAAGAAACCTTGAAAGAAAACACTGAAGGACTTCTACTGAAGTTACTTTGAACGAAGTAATTCTAAGAAAAAACAACGCAATTACATGTGTTTTTTGATTTTCCAAATACATTTTTCATGCGCAGTCAACCCATTAATGGTTTGAATACTTATCACTTGGAAGTTATTATTAGAATTATGGGTATTTCGATCATATCACATGAAAAAGGTTTAACGCCCTATTATCTAATCCTTCAACTTGACCTCTTCCCAACTAAGTGTGCTCTGCAGTAAGTTTTAATAATGGGGAACCCATGAAAGCATTTTGGGGCTTATTCGAGCTCGTCAGATTTCGCAATATGCAATCCTGTGCCCCATTGAATGTACCTATTTTTTTAAATATACAAATATAACTTAGGTTAGGGGATCGATTACATGGAAAAGTAAATATATTTTAGTAAAATACCGATTTATGATAATTAAGGCAGTGATATTTTTCTTAGGAGTTCGACTAGCGGATAAAAATACCACACTGCGCTCCAAAACTCGAATCGCTGACATTCGTCAGAAAGCCGTAAGCTTCAAGTGGAACTGGGCTGGGTGAAACTCACTACAGACTGAAGCCTATACAACGTCAACAGATGTCGACGAAGCCCAGGCTGAGATGGCGGGACAAACTTGACATATTGGAAAAGGGTTGGCCGCAGAAATATTTGTGCAGAAGAGGGAGGGGACGTGCAGTGGAACGACAAAGGCTAATAAAAACACTGTTTCGGAGGGTTATCGCTCCGACGTCGTCGTCCTATTCCTTTCCACCAAATAATCGGCAAAACATCACCGCTTTATGGTGATTATCCTACCCACTCGCACGAAGCTATTCGCCGCCAGTTTTTTCATTAGGACCGTATTAGTAGAATATTTTTTTCGGAATCTGTGTTTCTCGAAGTAGGGGTCTCTTTAAGGCCCGAATTAATACTTTGTTATGCGTGGATGTGTTCCGTCGTAGGTCGCACTAGACGAGATATTGGCCAAACGCCGGACCATTGCAACTACAAAAAAGAGGCATATAACATCAAAATGCAAGCAGAAGGTGTTCAGGGATCATGGGTATGGTTCGGTTTCGTAATGAAGTCGTTAAAAAGTAGCGGCCTTTTGATGCGGGGTCTATAGAGACGTCTAAAGAAAGGTCTAAAAGTGAACTTATTGACGTCTTACGTCAATAAGTTTTCTTTCATACGTCGGCTTAGGTACATTATACTAACAGGCAAACCAAGAGCCTGTCATTAAAAATTACACATGAAGGTCTCCTATTGATACTAAATATCTGACACTATAACACAAATATCAAATTACAATTACCTAATTAGAATTAAGACGGGAAAGGGAAGGCTCTTTCCACTTTCTACACTCGTGATCACAAATATTATATCCTTGAATATCATCACCAAACATTGACAAGACTTTTCGACGCGATAGTCATATTTTTCGTCGTATTTTTTTAGTATTAGTTAGATACTAATATATTATTAAACTTTTTTCGCCCTCCACGTCTTACTATGATCATTTTTATGGTGGGACGGTCATGAAGTATTTTTGCATTATATTGCTAAGTTTGAAGACCTATTCTAGTCGTGTTGATGCTGCTTTGTTCAGATCCGTTTTCAAAATGTTAAACATAATAATTCCAACTTCTTTTAATTGCAATTATGTTATTAAAGGTTTATTCTTATTTTTTATATTCGAAATAGCATACATATAAGTCTATATTTTTTACTGATAGGTAGCTTTGTATCTCAGAAGTTATTTAAATAAGTATTTTGTAAGGAATTCCTACTAAAACATAGTAAGGATCAGAATACATCATAGAAATTCCTTATTAAGTCCTAATACGAAGAATTGGTAAGTACCTGTCTACGGTAAGTACCAAAGTATCTGTTTAATAAAATTCAGGACTAAAGTAGTAGAGTTTGTAAATAATATTGTAATCAATGTTATTTACCCTCGGACCGAATAATGAGCCGAATATTCTAAAACCACGTGAAATTGTCTGCCACACAGATACGACATCGTGACTACATTAAACGTAGCCATTGATATTACGTGTATCACTTTTGTTATGAATGATTTAATCGAATACCTACAACAGAAACAAAACGTGAAAATTAAGATTACTTCACTTGATGATTCGTTTCGTTCCATTCCACTATAGTACAAAATATCTGAGTATAAAGGTAAATGAAACATTATTGAAAATACTTAACCAACAAAAGAAGCCACCGATTTAAGTAACTAATGTAGCATTGTTACACACGTTATTTAAAGTACCCATGTAGAAATACATAAACAACGGCTACAGTAATTTGTTAGTTCATCATTAATGTGTAAATACAGTGAATACGACACGACCAATATGATATCATTCAATTTTACTGCTTTAGAAGCGACCTTTGATAACCCCGGGCAACGTCTCCTAGATGCCATCCCCACACATCTGGAGTTCACTAACGAAAGGTTACTAATGGAATTAATAAATAATAATCCATTAGATAAAACTACTTTCCAATTATTAATAATAACGTCTACGCAAATCCAGGCCAAAATAACAAAACACTTGGAAGAATCCAATCATTGAGTAGAGATTTCAATAAAAGACAAGAAAAAATAAATAATTAGGATGACCCGAAAAATCTGTGAAGATCAATTGAGTGGTCAATAAGAGCCGAGCTCATGGGTCATGGGCGACTTAATTGTTGTTTTGTAAGGAATAACCAGCAGAAAATATCACATCCTATCAAAACATACATAAAAGTCCATAGTAGACCAACATATAGGAAAAGTGACGAGTTTTTGTTCTTACAAAAAGGCATAAAACGTGACTTGTTTTGTCTGCCCTTATTTGATCCATTGATTACCGAAGTACGTCTTAAAATGATAGAACTATCACTTTGTAGGCGAAAGATATGAGAACTTCAGAAACAAAACTTGTTTTTGTCACAGATGTTATACAGTACACACAACTAGACGTACCTAATCCTTTGAGACGCTGAAACCCATAAAGAGTAGAAAATACTAGATGAATTATTGCACCAGAGCTAGTGAAGACGCATTTATTATAACAAAATCTGGTGGTGTGTTGGTTCAGTGTAAACCGCTGATATACGAAGTGGGTTGTACCTACCCATATTTAAATATCAACAATAAGAAAAACCTATTGTTACGGCCTTCGTTACAAGTTGGAGCCATCGCCAGAGAAAAGTATAAGCTTTGCTATGAGAAATTTGCTCCGTCGCACTTTGTGCTCTCACACGATAGTTACTCGCAGAACGCCCGTTACCTAACTCATGCCACAGTTCTCATGTTTGCGTTTATATGTTGTAGTAATATGAGACTGATAAGAAACATTACAATAATAAACCCACTTTGAGGGGAAATTTACCGAGTGGCGGTTAGATCCTATTTTCTCCAGGGCATAAGTAACGATAAATTGATTATATGTTAGTTTGATTCTTTTCACATTCGATGCGTACGCGTCGCATGATGTAGCAGCCGAGTGCTGCCAGCCCTGGCAAGGGTGCCGCCCACTCTCTCGATAACAGCCGATCCTCATCGGTGTGCGCTCTTCTTATCATAGACCTGTTGTTCTCTCATTCAACTTACACATTGTTTGTATCGTGATACACACAATTTTAATGCTATTTTACACAACAAAGAGCTTACACACAATATGTCGACATTACGTGTATTCACAACCGCACACATTAGGAAAACTGCACAAGAAACCGAACTTAGATCCAATGATGATGATAGAATACTTCGTAATCGACTTGCCTTAAATTGTCGAAGTTAAGTTTTAGTCTTGTGATAGAAAGTCCGAGTTCTTTGATGCTGTGTTCAGAAAAATCCGGAAGCTGGGAGTAGGAGATATCCAATCCAATTTTTGTTTCTGGGCTGAACTTGTTTGTTAAAGCCCGAGCAATTTCTTCGTAAGCACTGATACGTTGACAAACAACAAGAATGGCACCAGTGCCAGCATCTTCACGACGGCAGGTGCAGGGTGAGATCTCTCTCCTCATGGCACAGTGCAGGCTGGCTCCGGCTCCGAGCTGGCCGGCCAATGCGCACAGCAGCGCGGCGGCGAGCGCGTGCTTGTGCGCGATCATCGTGTGTGCCGTTCGGGGCGGTTCGCGCTACTGGCACGACTCACCACAGGCGCTCGGAATCTGTGCGTCGACGCTGGCGCCCGGCCCACCCCGCGCAAGCGCATCATCAAATCGTCTGCACTCTGCACCTTCCATTACATTTCCCACTCAGTACATCGTTGATAGACCCGGGCAGCATATCATTTAGTTTTATAAATTACTCAGACTTAAACAAATACGATAAAAAATAATTATTGGTATTCTTGAACGCATTGTTTTCCATCTCACCGTTTCAATATACTTATAATTGTGTTGTAGGTTAAGTTCCGTTTAAGTAAGCAGAAAAAATGTTTTCGGATACAATCATTAGGTAATAATTTAAGATGATTTGAGTAGCAGCAATTACTTTTTATTTACTTAGTGATAACTACCATTTATTCTGTGTTACTTGTTATTTTTGATAACACATTTAATTATTCCAGTCATAATTCGGTCAATATGTTCCTCAGACAGGATCTAAGATCCCTGTGTACAAGAACTACTTGTACCTTATCAATAGGCCAAGTTTACTGAGATAAGATGAACTTACACGTACTTATCTCTGATATTTCAAATAACCAATTAGGTACAATACTTTCATCTTTTATTTACAGTAGTGTATTATGTATGATACCCGTGTATTTTATACCAGAATAGTTATAATCATTTAAAATGTTTCCTGGTAAGTGTATTTTTTTTATTTGTGTTTATTTCAGAGTGATAATATGTTTACGTACTTTATTTTTGGCAAAAGTGTGATGTAAGGCCACAAGTAAATACCTAAGCACACAGCTGGATCAGCAGTTGATACTGGCGCTCTTAGATAAAAAGTAACCACAAGAATGATAAGTACTAGTGATCCCATTAATGACAAAAATAACACGAAGACTACAAACTAAGTATACCACATTTAAAAATGATCTGGACCTCAACGTTTCTGAAAAAAGTAGGTGACAGAACAATAATACTGAGTCACGAGTACAATTTTACTAAAGAATTCTGTATTATCTAGTCTTCTGCCCTCAAAGTTAGGGAGCTTTTGTAGGTTTTATAAAGCATGGTAAGACTGCAACATGGATCTAATTTAATAAGGAATCTCTGAGACAGGGCTCTGTGACTTCCGCAGCGTGTGATAACCATCATATTTAAAAGTAGCACACTTTTTTCAACCATAATTTTGCTTGCGAAGTGCTGAGTCTTCTTCTTGCTAATATATGCGATGCTTCAATTGTACCAAGAAGGGAGTAAAAGATTGTTGCTTAAATGAAACTGAGCAGACCTGTTCTTTTAAAAATCATTCATTTCAAATATCGTAGTTATTGGTGGTTCGTTAGTTAGGAAGTACAACATTTTGGGCTTTACATACTTCACACCAGAAGTCTGCTTAGCTGTGTTTAGTTTTATTAATTCCGCTTGATGTACGTATAAGTAGTACCCCATGTTTATTTAGGTATTTAAGTTAAGAAGCATGTTTTTCAGGATTTTTCCTTGATCAATATACTCCATGTCTTTATTTTGCTATGAGGACCATTTAAAGTTACTTTAATTTGCAGTCTCTTGGATACTATATATATACTATATACTTTAAGTAGTGCTGGATACTATAAGTACATTTATCCGACAGAGTTGCACCTACCACTTCTATTTCTCCACCAACCAAAGGTAGATTGGTAGAAAACGCCTATGGCATTCAGTCGTTGTGCAAGAAGTATAAATACATAAATAATAAATAAATACTTTAATTCATTAGCGGCGACAGTTATTTGGTAGCTAACATTATAGGCGCCAATTTCTAGTACCTACGCTTAAGGCCAGATTTAATTAGTTCTATTTTATAACGAACGTTTTATCAAACCTCCTACACCTCCGGACTGCACCCTGTATCAAGTAACACAAAATTATATTTAAAACTCCGGATGCTAGATTTAATAAGCTTATGATTGAATCCCAGAGCAATCTAAGTCCAAAAGTTTCTTTAGATGACTCTAAATGAATCAGGCAGCCACAATAACTGTCAGCCTAATTGTTCAATAATACAGATTTTTTGATGATGATGATGATGAGATAAATGACTAAAATCCGATCGGAATGTTACACTTTGTAGTCAATTGGGATACCCCAAGGCAACGTAATGGGGCCAACCAAATATAGGCATTTATTAAGCTTAAATTAACAGGAACATCAAAGGTAGCATTTAAATAGTTAACCGATAAAAACGTAATAATGTTTGTAAAGAGTCAGGTAACAACCAGGGCCGTCCAATTGGCCTTCATATAGTTTTATTAGTACTTGGATCGATACGGCAGCGCAACTTTCAGCTGCCCGGACTCATACCCTAGATTCTAGATAAATGTTACATATGTCCAGATATCTACAAAGTGGAGGTAGTAGGTAGGCAGTAGGTAGGTTCCGTGAAGATGGAAAATGGCGGTTCTGTATATTTTAGATCGGGTGTTAGAGTGAGACCGATTTATACACAAATAAATAGATTAAAAAGAGAGGAAAGGCAGTGTATGTAGGGTATTCAACTACTTGAAGCTATGTGCGAGTGCTTTTCACGTGTCTATTAATTTTATTAGTTATTAAACTCTGATGTGAGTAATGAATTAAGATGGGATGATTCCAACACGGTTGTGTATACTACTCGTACAACGTGGACCATACAAGTTAGTATTGCAATCTTATATGGGATTCAAACTGAAAAATGCCCATTGAACTACAGTTATGGATTTCCATGGAATAAGGAGAATGTAGGTAACGTGTATTAAACAAACAGAACATTTTATACCTTAGCACTATCGTGGCGCCACCGAATAAATAAAAATGTTGATGCACACAATTTCGCACAGGACCACTGCAGATGGGGCCTAATACTTATTTCACCTGAATGTTGCAAGTGCAACCGCAATATAGAATTAATTCCGCGGTTCTAGCTCGGAGCAGGAGTAGGAATGGGGTAGTTTTTAGTCACGTTTTAGTCGTTAATATTCTCTGATTATCCGCCCCACTCAAGGTACCAGAAGTCATGTGATAATAATAATATTGCCTCCTCAAAAAGGAGCGCATTTGGTTTCTATATACTCCATGGTACGTTCTACTATACATAATAACTATCTGTTGACAGATTGCAGAGTGCAGCATATACATAGATATGTAGGATAGGGTGGTGGGCTGATACCTCCCTCGGGAATTCAAGGCCGTCGCATCTCGGTATGGATTTCTCAATTAACTCGCTACGTTCCAGCTAAATAAACAAATCTCTTATTACAGACACACACACAACTTAACATATTTGAAGAGGATAACTTTGTACTTTTAAAAAAACTAATTTAAATCTAATTTTAAGAGGAGGATTCATGTGTGGGAGAGGCATACTATACTTCGGCACGAATTGGTTGGTTCAGTCACAGGATACCTATCATGAACTCACGGAAAACTAACGTGAAACAAAACGCTTGCGTTGTAGTTCTCTGTGTAAGTGAGTTACAAGAGACCCAATGCTTTCTCCCCCTTCCATCCCCAATCCATAAGTCCTCTACCCCTCAAAATCCTATCCACAAGGCCAGCAACGTACTTGTAACTATTGCCATAGCGGGGTACCTATCAATGGCCGTCGACGATTATTTACGGGCTCAAGTGATTCGTCTGCTCGTCTACCGACCTATCCCGTATAAAAAAGAGGCTTATGGGTTAAAATTTTCTTTCAACTACTTACTTATCAAGTTCAAACTTTATCGTTACCAGAAGAACAATCTCAATTTTTATACTAACTAACTTTTAAACGTTCGCGTCTCATGTTAACATAATAAAAAAATTTGACTTATTTTTGTTGTTTTTTTTTTATTTTTAAAGGTATCTTAATTAGTTTATTTATCGGGTTGTTTTTAATTTTTCTATTAAATTGTAACTCTTGCAACGTAATTGAAGTCTATTAGGTTTTTCAGGTCACTTTTCGTATTCACGTATTAACTCGACTTTATTCAAGACACGCTAAGGGCTCATAGATAATCATGCTCAATTTCCGCACGGGACGATTCTTTTATTTATCCACATTTGTGCTTCTGGGTTTGGGTGTGAGTTGTAACAGGTAAAATTGCACTCCTGTAAAAGCACTCACAACACAAATAAAATCGTGCCATAGATAATATTTTTAAAACTAAGTAACATGTAAAATGGCGAGGTATCCCGAAGGCTAAGCCGCCTGGTTCTCATGCGTTAGGAGGTGGGTTCGATGTCTGGCAAGTACCGTTGTGACATTTTCCAAGTCATGTGTACTTTCTTTTTTAAGTTTATTTAGACCTATATAAAGGTAAATAAAAACATTATTAGGACACCTGAACTTTTAATTACCAATTAGGTACCTATAAGTTTGATATCGCCAATCCGCTTTGAGCAAGATTGGTGATAAATGGTGAGCCTTCTCCGAGTGAGAAGAGCCCTTTGCTCAGCAGAGGGTACGTACAAACTGAAGATGTAATAAAATGAAAAAAGGAATATAAAATAAATTTACTTTTGTTATTGTTTGATAGAGAGAGAGTAAGAGCATAAAAAATATTTTATTTCTCACATTCTTTCCAGCCAGATTCATCTATCACAGCAATAACGACAGCCATCTTGATCTCCAAGCGTCGGTCGCGAAGGCAAGCTTAAAAAAAGAACCAAGTGATAAAATTAAGTAAGCGTATTATTATAACGTGATATTTAGTTCAGTAGCAATTCAAATCAGCATTTATTATGAATATTAAGCAGGCAAAGCAAGAAGCAATAAATTTTATGGTATTAACGCAATTTTACAATATGGTTTTAATGACACTAATACAAAAATATTTAATTAACTACCTACTAACAAGTTTACTGGTCGTACTTTTGTTTCTTTCTTTTCAAATAAACCTTTCTATTCATGTAATCTAGTTGGTTCGAATACTTATGTTCATGCATTTCATCAGTACTGATATTACCATTTCAATATCACAGTGATGATAGCATTTTTTTATTATTTTGCTACCATTTGATTAGTTTTATTTTCAAATCCTAAAATACTTTCGACAGATATTAATTT